CTTTTGAGTTAACTGCTATGGAAACCTCAGACAGCCAGGATCACAAGTTTGCGTTGCACAGACATATACAGACATGTAGACAGGGTTCGTGCCACAGCCAACACCATCCAAAGCCACTTCTCCACTTAACTGCCAAGGAGCCTTGATCCATCCATCCCCAGATGACCATCTACACGACTCCTCACACCTGACCCACGTGTGGGAGGGAGCTATAGGGTACCAAAACTGCCACCCCAGAACTCTAGCTAAGGACTTCGAGAACTCGTTCTGAGCTAACAGCTTGCTGCTTAGGGCAAATCTCTTTATGAGACCTGCTAGACGTTTCTTCACAATCTGCTTCAGTAACTTTGGCTGTAAAATGACACCAGGGCTGGGGTGTAGCTCAGTAGTAGAGTGCATGCTAAGTATGTGTGAAACCCTTCATTTGATTTCCCAGTATTATCAATTATGGAAAAAAAGTATGCACAACTAATGAAATTAACATAATGGTTCTATTTACCAAAAATAACTTGAGGTGTAATGAACAAAAAAATTGAAACATGCTCAGTACATACAAATTTTTGTGCGAGTTGTAAATAGTCCACTTTGTGAAATTCCATAGGACTAGTTAAAAAACAAACAAAAAACCAAAAAGAAAAAGAAACAAGCTGAGTGGTGGTCCATGCTTTTAATTCCTTTAATCTTGGTACTGGAGGCAGAGGCAGGTGGTCTCTGAGTTCCAGGACAGCCTGGTCTACAGAGTGAGTTCCAGGACAGCCAGGGCTGCACAGAAAAACTCCGTCTCAAACAACAACAACAACGACAACAACAAACCCCCCCCCCAAAAAAAAGAAAAAAGAAAATAAAAAAAACAAAAGTGGGCTGGTGAGATGGCTGGGTGGGTAAGGTGGTTTTCACCGAGCCTGGTGCTCACAGCCTGGTGCTCACAGCCTGGCCATGACCTGAGTTTGCTCCCCAGGACCTGCATGGTAGGGACTGGAAGCCTCGAACAAGTTGTCCTCGGACCTCTGTGGCACAAACACACTCACCCCCATCCCCAGACCTTCTCCACACCTAAAAGAACTGTTTAAAACACACACACACACACACACACACACACACACACACACACACACTAAAACAGCTCAGTGAGTAAAGGCACTTGCCAAGCCTGACAACTGAGTTCAGTCTCCAGGACCCACAAGGTAGGAAAGAACCAATTCTTCCACGTTGTCCTCTGACGTGGACATACAAGCTGTGGCATGTACACACACACACACACACACACACACACACACACACACACACAAGGAAGATGTAATTTGAGAGAAATTTTAATAAAACAAAGCACTAGTGTGTTAGACCAGAACAAACCCCAATATTTGTCAGAGCATGCCCAATGACTGACAGCTAGTCTGGAAGCTGCTTAGACAGGGCTTCTGCAGGTCACAGGGCTGCTCTGGCCTTTGCCTGTTCAGTCTGGTTTGTTCATGTTTGAGATTTAGTGAGACAGTGATCTCAGTTCTTCTAATAAAGTACTGTTTCTTCTCCTGAAGCCAGCCAGTACTGACGCTTGTTGCATGTAAATGAGGCTGTAAGTAATGAAATAACCAATGTAGTGTATCTCAAAGAGTATTTTGTGGAATGTCATGGGCCGGAAGTGGTGGCCTCTACCTATAGTCCCAGTACTCTGGAGGTTGGGGCAGAAGTATCAGGAGTTGACCTAAACAACACATTGGATTCTGGACTAGCATGGATTAAGAGATTACATAGCAAATTCCAGGTCAGCCTGGGATGCACAGGGAGACCCTGCCTTAACATAAGAACCAGAGCCAAACATAAAGGCTTATACCTGTGATCTCAGCATTTGAGAGGTTTAGGCTTAAGGCTAGCCTGTGCTACATAGTGAACTCCAGACTAGCCTGAGATACAAAGACCTTATGCTCAAAAGCTAAAAGTGGGCTAGCACAGTGGGTCACACCACTATTCCTACCACCTAGGAAACAGTGGCAGGCAAATAGAAACCCCGAGTTTGGGCCAACCTGGTCTATAGCAAGTTCCAGGCCAGCCAGGGCTACACCGTGAGACCTCAGTTCCAAACAAACAAATAAGACAGGCCTGGTGGCACAAGCCTTTAATTCTAGCCCCTGGGAAGCAGGCTGATCTCTGTGAGTTCAGGACAAGGCCAGCTTAGTTAACACAGTGAGTTCTGGGCCAGCCAGGACCACAAAGTGACAGACCCTGTCTTTCTGTTTTGGTTTTCAAGATAGGGTTTCTCTGTGTAGCCTTGGCTGTTCTGGAACTCCTCTTAGACCAGGCTGGCCTCAGACTCAGAGATCCATCTACCTCTGCCTCCTGAGTGCTGGGATTAAAGGCATGAACCACCACCACCACCACCACCACCACCACCACCACCACCACTGCCTAGAGACCCTGTCTCAAAACAACAAACAAACACAATAGGGGCTGGAGACAGCTCAGTAGTTTTAAGAACACTGGTTTTTCTTCCTGACGACCTGGGTTCAATCCCCAGTACCCACATGGTGGTTCACATTTGTCTGTAACTCCAGTTCCAGGGGATCTGAACACTTTTCTGGCCTCCTTGACATCAAGCATGCACGTGATGCACAGACATACATTCAGGCAAACATTCTTTTTTTTTTTTTTCAAGACAGGGTTTCTCTGTGTAGCTTTGCGCCTTTCCTGGGACTCACTTGGTAGCCCAGGCTGGCCT